TTCAGTGAAGAAATCTTTCCTAATGTCTAACCTAAACCTGCCCCAGTACAACTTGAGGCCATTTCCCCTCATCCTATCGCTTGTTACCAGGGAGAAGAGACTGACCCCCACCTCTCTACAGCCTCCTGTCAGGCAGTTGTAGAGGGCGATAAGGTCTCCCCTCACCCTCCTTTTCTGCAGACTAAACAACCCCAGTTCCCTCAGCTGCTCCTCATAAGACCTGTGCTCCAGGCCCTTCACCAGCTTTGTGGCTCTCCTCTGGATGTGCTCCAACAACACAACGTCTTTCTTGTAGTGAGGGGCCCAAACTGAACACAGTATTCAAGGTGCGGCCTCACCAGTGCTGAGTACAGGGGGATGATCACTTCCCTACTCCTGGTTTCCTGGGGAATCAAGGCTTATAGGACTCTGCTGTTTGTTTTGCTCATCAATTTTTTCCTCCACCAGTAACTTTTGAAACTGATAGCCAGTTTGAAATCACTCGAAAAGAGAAGTGCAAGGTCAGAAATACCTTCCACTTAAAATTGGTGGCTGGGTGGAGAAGAGAGCAAATTGGTACGCTTGAGGCAAGCAGAACATCAACATAATATGTCCATTTTGGCAACAGCCAGGTAGACAGTGCACACATCCTTCCCAGCTACTGGCACAGCATTGCTTCCTCTTGCTCTGCATCCTGAGGGACATGGAAAGAGAACAGAAACTGGGGTGCGGGAGGATATGGTGCACCTCCCAAACAGTGAACTAGGCTCCATTATTTTCTTGTTTCTGATCATATGCTTTTTTACAATCTTAATTTCTAATGGCTTTTAACTAAGAATCCCTGAAGAGCATAGGTTTCATTTCATCTGTACCATTAAGCAAGCCCAAGGGATTAAAAGATTTCTGTTCCTTTTTCAACATTTGGTGGATCTGAGAGGTGAAGATATGCTTTTCTTTTTAATGAAACTGCATACTATTTGAACTATTATTAGTTTGAATGTTTCCAGAGTTTAATAAGCAATACACAAGCATTGCTCTGAAACAAAGCCTTTCTTCTGCTTGCTATTTACCAATTTCTGTATTCATTTAATGCATACAGTCTGTGAGTGTTATTTTAACATTATCTTTGCTGTCTTCTTATTTTCTTAAAATATACTAAGAAATCCACCCAAATACAGTATTAAATCCATAGTCTCTAATAAACCAGTTAGCAGGTGGGATTTTTCAGCGGCATTGAAATCCATATCTCAAGTACCCTAAGTACCATCATTACAAAATCCATATTTGCTTCCCTTAGTAGAGGCTCAGGCTTTAAATTTGAAGATTCCCTGTTACCTAGTCCTAACAAAGTTCCAACTGGAAACTGGTAACTCTTGCCAAACTAGAAAGGATACGGAAATTTTGTGAAAGATCCTATTTTAGTTAAATCTCAGCTGTTAGCATTAATAACTAAAAAACTTTAAAAATTCTGATTGTTTCACTGTCTAAAAATCTTGCAAACAAATAGAAGAGCGCTTATAAAAGAACGATCATAATCATGTTTGTGTGTATATATACATTTAGAGTGTTCTTTGGGAGAGGTAGCATTGAAAAACTTCTTTGTTGCACCTAATGCACACTGAACTCCTATTTAATGTCTATCTCTGAATTATTGAATCAGTGAGTTTTGCCTGTGTGGTAAGTACAGAATATTGACCAATGCCTAAAGAAATTTTGTTAGTTTGTAAAGATGTTAAGCATGTTATATACAACTATTTTTTTCATCTTAATGTAAGATTTGTTCACACTTCTCATATAATAGAACTCAACATAGGGTAGAAGTATTAATGAAAAGAATTAGGAAAAATTTATTTATTCTGTACAGAGACATTTTTAATTGTTGTCTAAAATCTGCTCAAGGTAGAAGGAATTAAGCTTTATTTAATGTAATCTGTTCAAATGGCATCTGCAGAATCATCGTGGACTAATTTCCACTGGTTTGCTACCACAAAAAAAAATGTTTGTGTTCTTTGAAGGCCAGAAGAGGTGATTTGTGAATGAAGAAGCCAGGTTTTGTTTATAGAACACTTCAGACTTCCAGAATGTAATGGATAAATTATGCTAGTCAAGAAAATTAGGAAAATGTGCTAAAAACCTGTCGAAGAGGATTTCCATAGACTTAAATGTCTTACTGTATAAATTTAAATTTGAGTTATAACTAATACTTATTTTACTTTTGCTTGGGTTAAGAAAGTCATATATTATTTAGGTGGGTTTTTTTGGTTTTTTTGTTTGTTTGTTTTTTTTAACCTTTCTGTACTCAAGCCATTACATGCAACTGCTGGTCAGAAAGGATTGTAGAAGGCTGCTTGATATTTTGCAAGCTGCACAGTGTAGTGGTTCCCAGGAATAACCAACCCATTTTTCTTTTCGTCAGGGAAGGGGTACAAAAGGCTGGAGGAAGAGGTAGCGGCAGCAGAGGAACTCTGCGGTGTGAAATGTGCAAAAGATTTTGTATTCAGTTTTGTTTCATGTTGAAGTAAAACAGATTTCTCAAACATGTTATTTGGGACAGAAATGTGAGGTGAAGGGGAAGGAGGAGGGGTCGTAACCCTAGAATACCAGCAGGCTGCTGACTGCAAGCTTTGCATGAATATTAATTCACTTAGATTAAAGTATCTGCACTAAGCAGGGTTCAGTGTTCTGACTTCAGACAGCATAAATTTGAACAGGAATCTCTCGCATCCATGCGAGTGCTGTAACTCAGCAAACAGGAATTCAAGGGTCTCCTTACTCCCTCATGTTTTGAAAAGAAATGCTACTCTGGATTATTTAGTCCACTTGATTGCCAATGGCAAATTAGCAAGTATTACACTCTGAAAATATGGAACTATAAAGTATGTATCCATCCTTAATTTATAAAAAGGTAAAAATTATTGGAAACTTCAATGAAAAATGTGGTATATTTTAGCAGTGTTTAAACATCTGAGTAATGATTTGAAGCAGTCTTCCCTTTTGGAACATGTGTGCTGTCAAGGCAGAACTACCTAGGTGTTTCCAAGTTAGTTTGTCATACAGTTTTAGAAGATACCATGGAAGGTCTAGATTATTTTTAGGAAGAGGAGTCATTGTTTTGTTTGGAAGGGTGTACATTTCCAGTGTATAGAAGCCTGATTTTAATTCATATATCTTCAAAGCGCATGTAGGTGCATGCATTTTATTATCCTTTTATACCATTTTAATTGTTCAGAAACCTATTTTTATCTCGCTTTCATTCACATTTCATCTTTATAGAATCTTTGGTGTATGCTTTTATGAATTATTTTAATCTCACACATTTTCAAATCTGTAAGTGTACAGTTCATTAATTCCCTTTAGTGTGAGTTTACTTTGTATCTTTGACTCCAGATTTGGTTCTTAATGTTAAGACTTGTCTGTCTTCTAGCTTTCCTTTTATATTTGTTTTGGAATCTCATGCTAAAGTGAGGTGATTAACAGCAAAGATTTATTAAATCTTGGTTGTTATGACTGTGAATAGGAGATTGTCTCATACTGGGCAGGTGATAACCAAGCTGATAAACTCCTCAGCTTTAAGAGGCTGGTAAATAGGCATTGCAGCAACTGGCAGACAAGCAGTAACTGTAAATGGGAAGCTACCCAATTAATAGTTTTTACAGCAGAAGTTTCAGTCTACCTTACTGTCTGCTTACCTAGCCCAAAATTTTGTCAGTAACAATTTTATGGGAGACAGTACGGCAGTAAAGTCAAGGTTAATGATACTTACTGCCTTGCCCTCACCTACTCAGCCAGTCTTCTCATTGTAGAAGGTGATCGGGTTGGTTAAGGCCAGTTTCCCCGTAATAAATCTGTGCTGACTGCTACTGGATTCTTCCTGCTTTTTGTGTGTTTGGAAGTGGTTTCCAGGAGCATTCATCCTATGCAAACTTGTAAATGGTGGGCAAGTATTTTTATTCTCATATATATATGTGGGTGTGTGTGTATACAAATGTGAGCTGGCTGGAGGAATAAACTAGATAGTTGATAGGATGTGGTGGTCCGCTTTTGAGCGGTTAAGACATGGTAGTTATTCTTAGACATACGCATTTGGGTCAGAGTATCCTTTTGTCAGTCAAAACTACTCATCTACAAAGAGATACTCAATATTAATGTTGTAGGGGTATACATCTAAAGAAAAATATAAATTATAGTCATTATATGTAATGTGTATTGCTTTTTTCTTTGAAAGAACTCTGATAAATTTACATATAGAAATGATAATTTCTTCTAGTAGCGTCTTATGGAATAATGTCATGTTTGCTTTGTAGAGCAGTATGTTTCATTACATAATGGCTACACATTTCCATTTCAGGGAACAAAGAAAATAGTTTTTATTTTTTAATAGAAAAGACTGTGGGGAAAAATATTACTAATATAATTCTCATGTAAGTTTACATCACTCCTCCTGAGGTTCAAGAGAAATGCCTTGGTGACAGCTTGTTAAACAATAATATGAAAGTGGATTGTTTGACTTTGAAAATATAGTGTATATTCTATCAGCTAGCATTTAATCAAGTTTCTGCCTGATAACTCTATTGACAGAAAACTCCAGCATAGCTCTTAGCTTGCTCATGCATTTGAATTTCAAATAATTCATTTGTTCATTTGTCTACCTGTGACAAACAGAATTACTGTATGTGCAAGGTATTCACCCACTTTCTGTGACAGCAGATGGGCACAATGACAGCTAATGCCAAAAAGCTGCCTCCTGGGGAATTCACACTATTGGAGGAGTTTGTTCATGTGACAGTTTCCTGTAGCGCTAATCTTTTGGGAAAACAAAGTTTCTAAGTAATGGATGTGGATTTCTCATATATCTCATATATGCATAACTAATAGAGTTTTAAACTCTAAAAATTTGTATGTTACTTATTTTCTTTAGTATTTTAATATGTAAATCCCATTTCTATTTAAGGCAGTTATTTGGGATAAAAAAGGTGGAGACATATTTTGAAAGACTTAAATTTACTATTATTTCTCTTTAGTTTCAGGCACTGCATGCTGTATCACACACGCTGGTTTTGCTAGGAAGGAATGACATACTAAGAAATTCTTTAGTATCTCTTCTCCTATCAGAAGTACGTCAGTTTGCCGAGCAGCTATTGGAAGCTCACCAGGTACTGTCATCTTTTCTTCTGGAGAAGGGCTGAGGAAAGGTATTGGGGAGTGTTTTCATAGAATCATAGAATTGTAGAATGTTTTGGATTGAAAGGGACCTTTAGAGGTCATCTAGTCCAACCCCCCTGCAGTGAGCAGGGACACTGCTAACTAGATCAGGTTGTTCAGTTTTGTCTGTGTCTGTTTCATAAAATGTAATAAATGGATCATTCTATAGAACATGCAGGTTTAAGAACCCAGAAAATGCTAGGACTTAACTTTAACAGCAGACTAAAAAAAAAGATAATTAGCTAAAACAATTATTGCAGTGTATAGATCGTGGGCTATGCAGGTAATACAACTTAAGTATCCAGCTGGACCCACAAAGAATTATGTCTCTCTCTAGCTGATGTAAAACTGGAAAGAAAGTTGCATTATTTTATTTCAAAATTAGATTTCCTGTTTCATGTTATAATATTAATATACATGATGCAAAAGTTATCCAGCACTTAAAATTGTATTTAGCTTGTTGCAGTGAGTAAGAGAGGAAGAGCAGAGTAGAACGGAGATATTCTTGGCAAAATTTATTTTTAGGTTAAATTTTTTCCAGTAAACGATAGAGTTTTAAAAAAAGACAGTAAGTGGATGTTCCTTTAACATATGGAGAAGAGATGTATGAAATAAATTGTGGTTTCATAGATTTTTCATGTATTTGTGTGCAGTGGTATGTATTTTATGCAAACTGTTCAGTCTCACTTGTGATTATGACCTAATTGTACACTGTCCTAGAAAGGTCAGTGAAAAGAAAGCATTTTTATTTGGTGGAAAATAAAATTATTGATATATATAGAAAATGTTCATCATAGGTATATCTAGTCATGGCCCGGTCTAACAAATGTTTTATGTGTTGCTCAAGCAGTCTTAACTTTATTCTTTTTCTCTCTAGGATATGGTATGGGAGTAAGTTCTGACTGCTGTAGCGGCAACACGTAATTTCCAACCCAAATTTATAGTGTGTTTGAATTATATTCTGAAAAGGCTTCAGAAAGGCCAGTTTTGAAAGAATTAGGCGATGAGCTGTGTTATTTCAAGTCACTGCTAGCACACCAGAGTTACCGATGACCATTAACAGCAAACAGACTTTAAAGAAATGTAAGGATAGGGAGGTGTGTATTTAAAAAAAAGTTTTGGTTTTTAAGTTTAAACAAATTGCTCATTTTTAACATTGTTAAGTCTCATCTGTTTAACAAAATTAGTCATCCCTCATTTCAGCACAGTTTTTGCCAGTAGCAACACAGAACTCTCCAGTGCTCCACGCTGATGAAAAGCTTACACTGAGCATTGCACTTTGCTGAGTTAGTTACTACTGTACTACTTAACCTTGTCATACTGTAATTATTTTAAGTATTGCTTTTGTATTTGGTGCAGAAAATTTATTTCTAAAAATTTCTAAAAGAAATTTGACTCCTCTTTGGCTTCATTTTGTGTTTGAAAGAATCATATGTTTGATTTTAAGAACATAATAACAGAGATTACAAAACCATAACTTGCAGTTGAGAAAATGGAAGTAAATTAGTATCCTGTGATTTTAACCATAAAAGTTTCTCTTTAACTACACAAGTGATTTTGATTTTTCTAATGGCAAATTATTTTATTACCGGCACTGTAATTTGTATATTTATGGGAACATAGTAGAAGATTTGATTCATATATAAATATAGAGAAGTTGGTAATTTAATACCTGAACAGTACTTATACTGCAGCTGGTATAATAAATTGCTTAAATACCAGTCTCACTAGGGTGGCTTGATACCCCTAGTTGATGTGTACAGCAGTTTTCTTTTTTTTTTTCACCTCTGAGGAAGCTACCACTCTTCTTGATTGTCCCCCCTCCCCCACCCCCCTCCAGTCAAGGAATGGAAACCTTCAGTTGTACGTCCTGGACCAACTGAAGAAAGTTGTATCTAGCATTGAAGGGAAAGGTGCCTGTGGAGTGGGAGACAATTTCCAGGGGGACAGGGACTTGTACTCATTTATTGAAAAGAAATAATAAAGATGATTTTGATCTTGTAAATTTATTCTGTTTCTTCATACTTAGTATATGTAGATGGAAATTCGGGACAGTAAAATGCATTTGCTACCTGATTTTTTTCAGCTTCAGGACTAAATCCTTTGTCAGGCTAAGTCTTTGCTACCTTCAGCCCTCCATCTCTCTCATTTTAATTACCTTGCATTTGTGCTTGCTGCAAATCTTAGCCATTATCAGGCCACAGTACATATTTTCAGACTTTCTGCTACCAAGAGCCTTGAAATGCCTCCAACCCTTGCAAGTGAGGAAATGTACATTTATTATTGTGCAACAGGAAACACAGAAAGACTTTCTGACAGAATACTTAGTAAGGTTCCCTTTCACCCCCTTTTTTTAAAACGGCCCTTTCTGTTCACCCAGAGAATTAATTTAATTCTCATATTCAAGAATTTAGAGCCATGTTTACATAAGGAGAGTTTCCTGCTGTGCTTCTGCTTCCTCCCACCAAATTGTCAGGCCGCCTTCTGCTACTGAAATGTGGTAGACCCTCTTTTTTTTTTTTTTTCTTTTTAACTGATACAGCAATTTATATTTTCTTCATACAGCGTTATAAGCATTTCTAGAAGATTAATGCATCTTGATCAGCCAACCACAAACTGTGGTCTGGAATGAGACTTTCATATAATCTTAGCAAAATTTATGGGGCTTTCTTCTGAGTCCTTTTAAAACACTTTGCATTTAAGTGACCAGCAGAAGAATAAGTGAGCTTCAGGCACTTAGGTAGAGACTCCAGTGACTAATTTTACAATGAGAAAGTAGTCTTGAAATGCTTACCCCCCAACACAGCACTGGACTTCTTCTGGGAATAGGGGAAGGTTCAAGGTGGCTGAATTTGAAGCTGCAGGAGCTGTGCATCTATCTGTAGCTGACACTTTGTAGGACTATAAAATGTTGAAAAGCTTCAGTTCATGTAGGGAAAGGAACTGAAGTTCCGGTTTGCTTAGCTTGCTGTGAAGTCAATGTTTTTAAAGTTTATGAATTCTTGCATTTAGTCTAAGTAGATATACTGTATTAATTTACAAACCTTTATACGTTTTGTAAGTGATAATTATTTCTGGAAATACTGCTTAACAAAAACCTTTCTACTTATCGCAATAGGACACTAAACTCTAGTATTTCTGACAGCCTCATTTACAGACCTGCTTCTGAATGTTTTCACTTTGTGTAGCATTACTTTTGGTAGGCATGATTCTAAAAGGATTAATTTTTTTTTCTTGCTTTATAATCAAAAGTAACTAAGATATCCATTTGAAATATACCAAATGACAGCTTAAAAAAATTCTTCATAAATACTTAAATTGGAATTTGCAGAAGGATAATACTTTATGTAATCAAACAAAATCAAGCTGACAAGTATTCTAATCCTGTTTTGTTCCATAAGTGAAACTGCTGTTAATTGCAAAGGCGCTTCATGTCTTCCACTTAAGACAATCATATTAGGGACTCTGAATTCTAGTTCATTAGAGGTGTGCAAATACCTGTTTTCTTTTTGTTTTGTTGTTTGTTTCATTTTTGTTGTGGCAGATAGGAGAAATAAAGAAATCGTCTGAGGCATGTATTCACATTAGCTTGCAATTAACTTTTAAACATCTGGTGAAAAACAGAAATTGAAAAAGTAGCTTATTTGTACAAGCAAATGTCTGTTTTCTTTTTGTATAATTATATTATTCTTTTTTTTAAATTTAGGATGCCTTCCAACACTGGCTTGGATTGAAAACAAAATTCCTTTTAATTTTTCTAAATGAATCATCTAGATATCTCAACATTTTCATTTTAACTTCCTCATTAAGACTTGAGCTAAGCTTCAAATAGTTTGTAAAATGTTTGCATTCCAGAATATGCAACTTTATATTCAATCATTTCTTCAATAGAAACTGCTCAGCTCACGTTATGTAGGTTTGTGGATACATCCTTTGATAAATACTGAAAATTTTTAACTTTAAAATTCTGACTGATTTTTAGTGAGTTTGTATCTGTGTCCTCTTTGAACAAGCTTATGTCTATGACCCACAGTTCTAAAGAACTATCTATGCCCCTAACTTTACAAATTCAAAAAAAATAGGTTGGCTGTAGGAGAGTGTATCTCATGAACTACACTAGAAAAATACTGGGATTACTCTGCATATTTTAGTATTGTTCCCTAAATGGCTAAATCCATTAATCTTAGGATATAACAAGTTAATATGAAATATATGAATAATAGAATTTTATAGAAAATAAAAGTAATAAGGAGCATGTAAGATGGTATAGTTATCCTGTTTTTTTACTTAGTTAAAATTAGTATTATGGTAGTAAACTCTCAAGCAAGTTAGTAGTTTGCTTTAATTAATTTAAGTACTTCATCATGTGCTTAAAGTGAAGCTCATACTTCAGGTCTTCACTAACACCAGGACACTGACTTCTAGGCAAAAGCATATTAATATACACTCAGTTGGATCCCTTAATTTTTACTTATGCTGGATACGTACTTTTCATTTTTATGTATAACAGGAACCTTTCATGCTTCATAAATATGGTTTATAAGAATACAGTAACTGAACCTTATCTTCCTATGGAATAGAAATCACAATTTTAAGATACTAAGATTTCGGAATGATACTGTGGAAGACAGATTATTGTTCAAATGTTGCACTCCTCACCATGATAGCAGATCTTCTTTTATGATAACTGTTTCAAAGACAGAGGACTAGAAATGGAAAGCACATATTGGTTCAGTGCCAGTTTCTAACACCCCAGATGTTAATTCCAAGAACTCTGGAAAAGAAAATTAAACAGTGGAAAATAGGTTTGAAAATAGAAAGACGTACTGTGATGTTCTGGAAAGCCCTGTTAATTCAGTAATTCCCAATACATAGCTTGTATAGCATTTTTATATCACATTACTTTCTGTACACTATTTTTCCATCTTTAAACTTTAAATGATTTCTATCA